TTATCTTTTTGTTTCAATTGATGTACATTTATATATTGTTCCATTCGATGTTTTCAGTTAGTCTTGATAAAGAAAATAAAAATTTTCGAAAGCTCGACAAATAACGAAGAAATCTAATTAATTCATTGGTCCAGACTGCATCCCACTAATATTTCCAAGAGCTTTATATAAATATATATCCATTTTTGTAAGTTCATAATTTATCTGAGAATATTCCTTTTCAACAAAGTATTTATATTTGAAACCATAAGAAAAAGCTCAACCGTTCAGAAAAATAAAATTTTTTTAGATTGACGATGGTTTTTTTGAATTTTCTAGTACTAGATACTGAATGTCCATGAAAAATACTTCACTTTTGCCCATTTGAACGTACCTGTTACATCAATATAAATGCATAGTCATCTCCACAACATTGATCAGCCAATAGAAAGTATCATAATTCCAGAAAAATCTGTATTGACTTGGGATATAGACGCAAGAATTACTTAGTACTCACATATGGAAATAAAAAAAAAAGTGGACATACAAATAGTATAGTTAATAACAGCGCAAACAGAGAAATATGCTCCATGATCTGAAAAACATTGGGTGTAGAAATATTGAGGGAAAAAGTGAAAAAACATGAAAAAATGTATTGTCTCTGTGAAACAATATAAATTAATATGAATAAGCAATTGAGTAGGATATAAAAGGTCATCCTGTACATATATTTCTAGATCACGACTGATTTGGAAAACTTACCCAAAGAATACAGATTCCCATGTATCCATCAAAATGACATTTCTGATAAAATGATATTACGTTTAACGTTTCCTGATCGAGGCAACCTCCCTATACAAATAATCCTAAGTTCTATCAACCTTGGTTTCTACTAGAAAAACTCCCAAAACAATTGAGACATTGAAATCCTTATTTTTCGTTTTTATAGAATTATCATTTCAAATCATGCGTTAAAAGGAAGGAAAAACGTATTCTGAATACAGGAATGAAGGTTTTTCGATATGTTATTTCATCCGCATCCTCTCACGTGATTTATGCAGGCATCATGGGGTTGAATCACATTATCTCAGTGCCTCACTTCGGCCAGAGGCTTCAAACATACCATGAAAACAGCAGGATCACTCTGCCTGCAGCACTTTGATCCCAATAAGTGCATTTGCAGTGACCTCTGGCTATATCAGATGCATGTGTGATTTTCCATAAGTGCATTTGAATCGTTGTATCACGTTGTATACAGGGTGATTCACGGTGGATTAGACGTTTCTAGAGAACGCAACTCAGGATTATTCTGAAAAGCTGGAGCCTTGGATAATTACTTGTGTTCTATAGCCCTAAAATATTCTCAGCGTTGCGACGTTGCCGCTTATGTTGAAAAGTAGCAACAACTTTGATTTCTTGTTCCATCGAACGGGTAGAGGCTACTTCATCCCTCCCAAACTTTTTCGTCGTACGCCTCTGGCATCTTTGACTGATCAAATTGTGTGGATCTTTCAATTTGGAGGCTTTTTTGCTTCCTAATTCTTTTCGAGAAAACGAACCGTTTTTGAGATAAATAAGCATATACGTTCTAAGACATCTCAATTTTGACTATGTTTCGCTAAAATTTTATTCTTTGACAAAATTCGTTGAGAATACAATGAAATGTACTCACTAAAATTGCAATCACTAGTCCAATCTGGATCAGTTACGAGAATACGGAGGGTAGAAAGTCGAGGTATGAAATTTAAGCGAAACATAGGCAAAATTAACATGTTTCAGAACGTATATGCTCAATTATCTCAAAAACAGTTCGTTTCTCGAGAAAAATTGAAGAACAAAAAAGCCTTCAAATTAAACGATCCACACAATCTGATCACGAAAAGATGCCAGAGGCGTACTACGAAAAAGTTTGGGGGGGATAAAGATGCCTCTACCCCCAAAACCGTATCACCATGTGGATTTTGAAAGTCTTAAAATGGCGTGAAATGATGATATTCTGAATATTATCGACCACACCAAATTTCAAAATGATATCTTCAAAAGTAAGCCAGATATTCCAATTAATAGAAAAAAAATAATTAAACTTTGACCCCCTGTAGCTCCGCTACTGAACGAGATCGAACTGATGTATATATCAACTTTTCTGATTAAAATGATGAGATCTACCTCCCATTTCAGTTTGTGCTCTAAAACCTGAATCACCCTGTATAATATAAAAAATAGAAGATCAAATTAATGAGCTGATTGAAGGTAACATAGGCGACATCATCCAATAATGAAAGAAGGAATTAAAGTGAAATTGTGAGCACCAGGGGTCTCTGGTTTGTTGGATTTTGACAATTGCTTTCGTCAATTTTGAAAATTTTATATAATGAACTTTTAATCGAGTACCTATGTGCTCCATTGTTGTACTTATTGTGTGTATTTTGTATATACATTCAGTTGTTTTTTTTCACGTCCACAGTTATGACAATGAAATGTTTTCGAAAAACAACTAAACTATAGTATTTTTCTGCGATAGTACCTTAGATGAAATGGAGGAGCCCCACATTCCAGAAACCCTTACACTCGGATCAAAACTGCATGGCATACTTGAGACAAAGTTCAACAACTTTCAAAGGAAGAATCCTGAATCTCAAATAGACAAATACAGTTGTTGAATGAATCAATCCTATCATGCAAAACTTTTCATGTTAAAGTCAATTAAATGCATACTAACACTCACCCTACTTACTTTGAATACTATCATTTTAGAGATTATATCACTACATTTTCTATTCGGTCGATTTATCCATTTCTGAATGTGCTACTAACCTTGAATTAATAATCTAAACTGATATAATATACTTCCTCAACTATATTCTTGCCATTAGAAATAAGATAATTATAGTCCATAATATGTATAATACTCACTTGGCAAATTGAAGTCTATTAAATAATCAAAGAAATCTTATCCATAGACAGTCCTCGTGAAGGACTAAATTGTGTTCCTGTTTATTTTCATAGGCCCAAAAATTTGTAAAACATCTATTATTTCCACTTATGTGAATAAACTTCTATTCTATTCTACTTCTATTCTATTCTTCTACTCCAGGACTCTTGAATCAAGCGCCACGATGATCTTGTCAAGATTCTTATTCTTGGGGAAAAACTCCCTTATTGACACTCAAGCCATGATAATCTCCAATGGATAATCTGGAATCTTTGGCTTAGTATCTGAGAATTCAATGGGATAGAATATATTTTTCAGCCAATAAATTTCGAGAAATCAAGTACTTGGTATAAGTAAATTGTATTAGGTAGGTAATGAAGATTCCATTTCTGAGACAAATACTTATTTTTTTCCAGTAAGATACTCTGACAATCATATAGCAAGAGATTTTTGATGTTTCGAAGTGAACATTCACTTGGCCATATCCAAGATCACAATTTCTTTGAATAAAGTGTTTATCTCTTTGAATGAAGGGATCTATTTTTTCAGTATATTTTCATTCCGAAAAGTAGAAAAAGATACCTTTTCGCCCGAATTTTACTCGACGTCGGTGTATATTATTGATGGCTCTCTATATGTACATATACAGTGTGTCCCACTTACCATGCTCACCATGGGTATCTTTTTAACGGTGAGAGATACGAGGTCGGTTAAATGACACCAAATGTGGAGTTTGTCAAGGCCAACTATAATGTGAAAAAATATTTCCATAAAATCTATTCGTTTCTGTTTTATACGCAAAAAACAGATTTTGATAATTTTCATGTCTCCTCCATAACTTCTTCATTTATGGAAATATTCAATTAGGAATTTCACATTCTAATGGCAGTTTTTCAAGATGCTTTCGAAAACAATATGAAATTTATACCAACTCTTCTAGAATTTGAGATATCAGCACCAACTTTAGTTTTTCAAATGTAGGTCATAGCTCACTATGACTTAGTTACAAATAACTTTTTTTTCTCTTACAGATGTTATGTCGCAGTAATAGTTTTGTGTTGATAACAACGGAGTACGGAGTTATCTTCATTTATACAAAAACAAAAAATTATTTGGGAGCCGCCATTTTGAATTTATGAATTTAAACAGGAGAATCATGATCTCCGACCTCAAAAACCCCCAGTTACCAATTTTGAATGGAATCGGACCAAATCTTGTCCGCCATCTTGGAGCAGCCATTTTTTTTAATTTCAACAAAAATTCCATTACTCCGATTAACTTGAAATTTGGCAGGTGTTCATAATTCCGGTGACAATACATTATGGAATTTTCGTTGAAATTAAAAAAAATGGCTGCTCCAAGATGGCGAACAAGATTTGGTCCGATTCCATTCAAAATTGGTAACTGGGGGTTCTTGAGGTCGGAGATCATGATTCTTCTGTTTAAATTCATAAATTCAAGATGGCGGCTCCCAAATAATTCTTTGTTTTTGTATAAATGACGATAACTCCGTTGTTATCAACACAAAACTATTACTGCGACATATCATCTGAAAGAGAAAAAAAAGTTATTTGTAACTAAGTCATAGTGAGCTATGACCTACATTTGAAAAACTAAAGTTGGTGCTGATATCTCAAATTCTAAAAGAGTTGGTATAAATTTCATATTGTTTTCGAAATCACCTCAAAAAATTGCCATGAGAATGTGAAATTCTTATTTGAATATTTCCATAAATAAAGAAGTTACGGAGGAGACATGAAAATGATCAAAATATGTTTTTTGCGTATAAAACAAAAACGAATAGATGTTATCAAAATATTTTTTCACATTATAGTTGGCCTTGACAAACTCCACATTTTGTGTCATTTCACCGACCTCGTATCTCTCACCGTTAAAAAGATACCCATGGTGAGCATGGTAAGTGGGACACACTGTACATATATAACATAATTTTTCCGATTACCTAAACGAAAGAGCCATCACCCCCTTCAAGATTATCGTCGCCCCTATCATTGAGATGTCCAGTTCTTCATTGTATTAACATAATTAGCAAAAATCAAAATGATATTTCACCACCATTCAAACTCACCTCATTTCCTTATCACATTTATTTCCGGCTAACAACATCGGCACCCTCGGAAGAGATTTCTTCCTCAGGCCAACGGTGCTTGAAGATCCTGCCCCTGCATTCACCTTAGTCTCTATGATTTGTTCCCTTAATCTTATTGCTTCTTCGAAAGTTTCTCTACTGTCCATGCTGAACACTATGACGAATAGGTCTCCTGCAAAATGACGTTCTCAATTTATTGCGGCAAAATATTGGAAGCAAGTGGCGAATTTCCATACTTTCAATAGTTCGAAATACTTGTACAGGGTATTCCATAATTACGAAGAAAGATTTCATACACAGATTCTAGAGACAAAAACTAAAAAAACTTTATACAGGGTATATCTAAATAACACCGGAAAAAGTCAAGGGGTGTTTCCTTGTGACATTCTAGCGAATAAAGTTCATATCAACATGTGTCTTAACTAGCTTTGTTTTTGAGATACAGTATAATGGAGTTGGGAGTATAGATAATTGTTTTTATTTAATACCTCCCTTCATGAGCTTCCATGGTGCCAAAATTCAGTATGGATGGAGACTGAGGAAGCCCCAAAATTTCAGAATGATTCTAAATGGGGTTATTGAGTAATCTCAATGGATGTCTTGAAAACACCTACATCAAAATTTGGAGTCAAATGGAATTTTCATTGTTTCCATGAAAACTGAGCTTGATACAAAAATTACCCTATTAATGAAACAATCACGATTTCATGACACAGCAGAATTTTTCATTAGATTTATCTCAAGAATGGTGAATGCTATCGAAATGAAAAAAGATTACCATTGAAAAGGAACAATCTCAGATATATTATTTATCAACACGAAAAATTCAGAATTCACATTCTCCATGTGATAAAAATATTAATTCTTCCTCGGTTTATTCAACAGAAAACAACTACTTTCCTGGCTATATGCCACGACGAATATTGAATTACATCTATTGAACACACACGATGAGAATTTGGAAACAAAATCTTCTGAAGTAAAGAATTTGCATTCTCCTTTATATTTATGTGATTTTTTTTCACTATTCTTGTTCCTAGAATCTGTGGTTAAAACCTCCCTATGTAATTTTGGGACAGAACAGAATAAGCAAATACCTATAGGAAGTTGACATCATTGAGAAACAACTTTTGATAATAATTCATATTGAAATTCGACTTGTGTCTCGAGTTTTGCTTCACAAAAGATGGGAAACATCCTATACAGGGTGTTCCCGAAATTGGGGCGATGAATACAATGAGGTGTTTGATGAGACATATCACGATGAAGTACAAGAAAAATGTTTTTCGAAAATGTTTCAAATTATATGGGCTCCCACCATAACTAAATCTTCCAACTATTATTGGAAGTCCGGCAACACTGCGAAAGCCATTGATACTTCTGGTGTTTGTGACACCGGAAGCAAACGCATGGGTTGGGCTACTAACCCCTGATCAATGATTCTCAAAATTTTCAGGCAAACTTTGATGCTCAATATCTTCCAAAATATGCTTTTCTCGACAAGATTGTATTCCTTCATTTCGTTTTTTTTTTTCGTCTCATATCATCCATTTCATGGATCGCCCCAATTTTCGAAACACCCTGTATAATCGGTTGGGATCACGTGACGTTCGCTCGAGCTACATGTCAAAAATCTAATTTTTTTCGTGACGAGAAAAAAGTTTGACATTCCATCTCGGTCATATAATGTTACTTTTCATGAGTTACTTTTTTCCCACGGGTATTTTTTACCGGATTATTTACACCGTGTCCCAGCTAAAATGTCCCCGCCTGTGAAAAATCAACCGCTCGATCGAATGACTTGAATTTTTGTCACCCAGTATATTTGTTGATGCTCACTCGAAATATGCTATTGAATAAATCGAAGGTATACAGGGTCACATCGAAGTGCACCCAAACTTTCCTAATCGAATAGGGACACCCAGTATATTATTCCATATTCAACTAGAGTTCATTATAACAAATTCAGCAATGCCAGGTTTGATGGGATTTTTTCAAATGACTACGAAGATATGGGAAAAAATAAAACGATTCTATAAAAAATTTATATGATTAGATTTTATTGATATAATACGATTGAAATCGAATGATGGGTGTCCTGCACATAACTACAGACCCGTGAAGGATTATCTTCGCCATCGATTTGAAGAGAATCTAATAACCACCAATTGTCTCGATGATAATAGCAACTGGCCAGCTCGGTCGCCAGACCTAACCCCACTTGATTTTTATTCTTGGGGCTACTTGAAACAACAGGTTTATGAGTCGCCCATTGTGAATATGAAAGAAATGAAAGAGGAAATCACAAATTTATGCCCCCAAATTGATCGCAACGTGATACATAGGGTAATTTGAAAGAATTCCATCAAACCTGGCATTGTTGAATTTGTAATAATGAAATCTACTCGAATATGGAATAATATACTGGGTATCCGATTCGAATAAGAAAGTTGATGTGTACTTCGGTGTGACCCTCTATACCTATGATTTATTCAATACCATATTTCGAATGGGCATCATCAAATATACTGGGTGACCAAATTTCGAGTCATTCGATCGCGTGGTTGATTTTCTACAGGGGGGGACCTTTTAGCTGGGACACGGTGGATAAATCTAAACGATCTTTAGCCAATAGTATCACCTCCCACAGGAGCGACTATAGACACCATCCAGAAAGATGTGCCCTTGCAGGTCATGTAAATGAATTGGACCATAATATGGATGATCCATCTGCTGAAATTCTTGCCACAGAAAGTATCTATTCGAAAAGGAATTTTCTAGAAATGTCATTTCTCAAGTGTTTTGCTGCATTAATAAAAAACAGGCACTGAACATCTGACTGAAATATACTCTCACCTTCTGGCCCTAATTTGATGGCCCACAAGTGGAATTAAGAATTTAATCTGTCTGATTGATTTATGCTCACGTACAAGAATTGGTTCTAACCAATTCACTCGAAATTGTGATAAAAGAATCATAATCTCCGACCCCGAAATACCAATTTTGGTTAGAATCGGATCATAATTATTACAAAGCTCGTTCACCATATTGGTTCTGCCACCTGGAATTCTCAATTTTTTCCAAAGAATCATAATCTTCGACCCAGAAATCCCCCAGATATCAATTTTGAATTGAGTCCGATCATGATTACAATACTCGTCCGTCATACGGCTCCATCTTGAATTTTTTGTAATTCAAAGTATCCTATGTCCTTTTTAATGAATCTGGGAATACGTAGACACAGTTCCATGATAATCGGTTCAGTAGATTCGGTGTGAAAGCGTAACAAACAAACTGTGACCCAAAAAAGTGCTGAACGCGGCTAAAAAAGTTTTCACTTCTGAAAAGATAGATTCAATCTTTGGAAGAAGTCCACATTCATTAGAATGATCAAAAATCAATCGTAACGGAACATTTTTCCGGATTATACAAGCCCATCATCCACCAATGGAAAGTATCATAGCTATGGAAATGAAAAAATTAGACAAACTAATAGTATAGTTAATAAAAGGGCAAACAGGGAAATATGCTTCATGATCCAACAGCGCCCATTTCAACAGCAATATTGGTTAAAGAACCCCCTAACGGCCCTAACCTCGCACTATAATCAGTAATAACTATCAGCTCAGCAGTTCGTAACGGAGTCAGTGATTACTGATAAGTGAGGTTAGGGCCGTTAGAGGGTTCTGGAACCAATATTGCTGTGGAAATGGGTGCTGTTGGATTATGTAGAATATTTCCCTGTTTGCCCTGTTACTAAGTATACTATTTGTATGTGTACTGTTTTTCATTTCTATAACTATAATACTTTCGATTGGCTGATGATGGGCCCATATAAGCCCGAAACATATTCCGTTACGATTGAACTTCGGTCATTTTAATAGATTATGTGGAGACGACTTTGGGTTTTCATCTATGAAAGATAGATTCTTCAGAAAAGTCAATGATGTTTTCGATATAACTGAAAAACTATGAATGATTCTAAAAATGTTTGAAGTCTGTTGGGATTGTATCCTCTATACCCTCATACCAATCATCCGAATTCTTATCTGAATTGAGTTGAATCTCATCTTGGTAACACTGTTTATGAATACCGATTCTCTCAAAGAATGAATGTCAAATTTAAATTCCCTGACAAGCGGTTTTGTTCAAAAATATCCTGCAGCGATATCTGTTTCTTAACAAGACACAAAAGGCGTCTGTGTTGTTTCCAACCTCATTTCTATTTTCCCTGTTTCTATCCATGTCGAAGTGAGAATGGAAAGTGGAACAAAAGACTGTTCGACGATTTTCGACATCATGGAAGAACAATCGACGTCAAGTTGCCCACTACAGAAGTTGTCTGTTGTGCAAATTTAGTTGGAGAACATGAATAACATGATGCAGTCAGCATTTCTCAAACGAAATAGGGTGGATAGATTCTATCTCAGAGGCCTTTTCATCTGGATGACAAATGGATATCACTGTTCCACATCTAGGAACCAACATCAGTGGTGGCGAATATTTTTTTCCATTATATTCATAAAATTATAGTTATTTATGGTACTAGTGTGTTATGTTGAAAATAAGTCACACGAGAAATATTTATACCACGAGGCCGAAATCGTTTTTTTTATGGGATAATAGTTAATAAGGTATAAATTCTCAAGTGACTTAGGAAACATAACACAAGGGTGACACACAATATTTTCCAACAAGTGGAGAAATCTTTTTTTTATGAGAAAATAATCAATAAATTTTGTGTTCAAATCAGAGTACCTGCGTCTCAGTACCCTATAAATGTCAGAATTAACAGTGACTATTTTACAAGAAGGTTATTTGTTAGGTTGCCACAGCATGATACATTGTTAGCAAATGTTCAAATAAATTTTGACACTAACTTGTTAGTTTTCCCTGCAGGAGAAGGAAACTTTTTTGTAGAAAAAAAACCTATAGGAAATGGAGGAAACCGATGAAAATTACGTTCCTGAGGATATCCTTACGGAAGCGGAAGAAGCAGCGATCCAGATTTTGCCAGAAAAGTCCCGAGATGCTTACGACAAGGAGTTCAAAATGTTTGAGTCTTCTATGAATTCAAGAAAGATAAAGGGTATCGATGAGAACGTTCCATTGGCTTGTTTTTTACATTTGCAAAAAAAATTAGCCCCATCGTCGTCATGGACCAAATACTCG